TGTTTTTTTTTCCCTCAGAAAGAAAAGGGAGGGACATATATTGTCATTTATGAGACGTGATGTTGGGAGTTACAGTTGTTCTCTCCACCACGGGGTAGAGTCAGGTGGGAGGTTTGGGGGTGGCCCCGGGTCAGCATAATAAAATCTCTGAGTGAAACTGTTCCCCAGATATATTTCTTGGAGCAAATAATGGAATCCTAATTTTTTCTAATTTAGATATAAAGCAGTATACTGGGTTCTAATGCTATTTTGGGGAAAGTCACAGAACAAACTAGAGGCGGCACAGCCAGGAACAGCCCACAGCCCAGCCTGGGTCAGGTCTCACAGAGGCCCCGCTGCCCTGCTGCCGGGCACAGATGCGACCACTCACCCCACTGACTCTCCTGAGGTGGGACCCTGGGCCCTGCAGGCTTGGACTGCTGTCTCTGCTGCTCCGGCGCCCGGACACTGTTGCTGCCACTCCCGCCACCCTGGCCGAGTGCACTCTGCACAGTCCCAGCCTCTCTGTGTCACCACGTCCTGAGTCAGAGTCTGGCATGTGGTCACCTGACTGGTGGAGCCTCGTGCCGTGTCCAGATGCATGAATGTTGGGGACATGGGTTCCCTCTTTCATGGAGGGACATGGTCTCTGCCTCCCACCCAGACTCTTCTTTTTTGGAGAGCACGGTTATTAACGTTCACTGTGGACAGTGAAGCAAGGAAGGGCCTAGAACAGAAGAAGCAACAGGAGACCAGGTGGGGCTGCTGTCAGCTCACTGGGGAGTCAGAGAAAAGGGGGCCTTGGGGACAGTCAGGGGTCAGCCTGGGATGAGCTGCTGCTGCCCAGCGCTCCCCTGGCTGCAAGTCTCCTGGGGTCCCTTAGAGTTTAGGACACGCCCACCTGTGGGGGAGGGAGGGGGAAGGGAGAGCACAGTCATGCTCCAGGGAGGGAGGGTGTGCCCACCAGGACCCTACGTGTGGAACCTTCCCCTGTAGGAACAGAGCTCAGGGGCTGGGGTGGGGGATGGAAAAGAAAGACACATTTCAGTCCTTGGAGCAAAGGTCTGAGGCTGGAACTTTCTGGTGCATTACAGGCACCCGGGTTTGGCTGGAGGAACACGTGACCAATAAATGACATCCCAAGCAGAGGGTCTCTTGCTCTTCCTCTGAGTTTCTCTGTGGGATGGTGAGGGGTGTTTTCCTCCATTCACCCACTTCTCTGGTTCTCGGACACCAGCTGTGTTTCCTACAGTTCAGCTCAACTCCGACGTGAACTCCCTGGAGTCAGCCTCAGACCCCACAGGGTCAGGGTCCGTCCCACAAGACTGCCCTCCCCTCAGAGCAAGTCTCTAATTCAGGCCCCTGTGTTACCTGCTCATCTCTCCGACTTGCCTACAAAAGGTAGGGGCTCCCCACCAAGTTCATTAATTTGCTACATCAACTCACAGAACTCAGGAAAATGCTGTGTTTACTGTACATTTTATTATAAACAATACAAGTGAGCAGCCAGATGAGGAGGGACATGGGGTGAGGTGGGGAAGGGTCCCGAGTGCCCAAGCCTCTGTCACCATGGAGTTGGAAAGTGTCACTCCCAACTCCCAGCATGGGGAGGGGTTCACTACTTCAGAAGCTCTCTGAACCCCATTATTAGGGGGGTTTATGGAGGTGTCACTATGTAGACAGATTTGACTAAATCCTTGGCCATTGGTGATTGAACTTGAACCCCAGCCCCTCTCCCAGAGGCTGGGCAGTGAGGCTGAAAGTTCTGACCCTCTGATCAAACTTGCTCTTTCTGGTGACCGGCCCCCATCCTGAAACTGTCCAGGACCCTCAGCCAAGGGCCATCTCATTAGCATCCTTGTCACTCAGGAGACTCCAAGGGTTTTAGGAGCTCTGTGCCGGGAACCAGGGGCAAAGACCAAACACAGTCAGACCTCAGTTCCCGAATGTCTCCCATCTGGAACAACTCAATTCATGACCAAATTGTTTATGGAAAATATGTCTCAGTTTTTGAACAAAGTTTTGATTCTTCACCTGACAACCCTTTCAGGCTGATACCTGTATGATCGGTCACCTGTATGACTGGGATCTCAAACAAACCACTTCTCGAACAGAATTCTGGAATGAATTAAGCTCGAGAAGCGAGGTTTTGCTGCATTTCTGTGTCAGACCGCAGGTCTCTGACCGCAGACCCGTGAGCAGGAAAGGGCATCATAACAGGGAGGTGACGTGGGCTCCCGGCCAGAGCCCCTTCAGTCCCGACGACGAGCCCAGTCCGTCCCCCGTGTGAGCGTGTTCACACGGCCCGGACGTTTATGGAAATTGCCCAACAGTTTGCGTCAGAGGGAGGTTCAGAGTAAGCCACATTGTGACATCACTGCACAACTCCCAGCACGGCGAAAATTAAACTGAGACAAAATCAGTTCTGGCAAGAATTGGGACTAATTCTGTCCCTCATTATTGCTGGTGGGAGAGTCAGTTGATTTAAATACTTGGAACGTGCTATGGCGGGACTTACTGCAGCCAAACGTTCACTCACCCCAGGACCCAGCATGTCACTTCTAGTTGCACACCCCCAGAGACGTACGCACATGTGTGTGCTGAGTAGTGCGAAGAAATTACTCATAGCAGCACGATTTGCACAATCTGGGTGTAACAAATGCCCATGAGCAGCAGAGGACAAGTGTGGGCTGTTCACACAATCGCACCCCGTGCAGCCGTGAGTGTGAACAAACCACAACCGCACAGGCCGTGGGGACGGGACCCGGGACAGGACGCTGGTGGGAGCCGGGTGCAGAGCGGAGTCTGCTGGGATGTCCCGTCCTCCGAACAGCGGACAGAGCTCACCCACCGTGTCAGACACCCGGAGAGCGGCCCCTCGGGATGGGGGAGGTTTGTGACTGAGTAAGACCCAAGAGGGCCCCCTGGGCGCTGGGAGTGTCCCTGGGTGTTTATCCCAGCGCTCCCTTCGTGGGAACCCACTGCACTCTTGTGACTTGTCCCCCTCTCTCCACGGGTGTGGTCCTTCACGAAAGGATGCTTTTCTGGGTTTTTGAATTAATTCTCTCTAAGCGAACATAGAATGAGTGTTACTGAAAACTTTTAGAAATGCTGAATTGAAATACCCACTGCAAGTTATTAAAATCCAAGGAGACAAGTTTCCGTGATGGAGACAGAAGGAGAGAGTCCAATGGGAGAGCATGAGCCTGGGAGCTGACCCCCAGACGGCCTCGGGAACGGCGGTCAGGACAGGACCGGGAATCACACCCCAGCAGCCCCTGGGAGGGAGGGGGTGTGAGAGATGCCTCTGAGCAGTGCATGAGCGACCCGTGGACAGTGGCTAGTGGGCTGGGCTGGGATGGTCAGGAACCTGAGGAAAATGACCTGGGAGCTGAGAGGTGGAGGAGAGATGTGCTCGTGGACCCCTTGCCGTGGGCGGAGGGGGTGGAGGTACCGGAGTGGGAGGCGATGCCAGCAGAGGGTGTCTGGGGGGGTGCGAGCACTGCTTGTACAGAGGCCTGGACGGATGGGGTCACTTAGCCTCTCCCCAGCGGCATGGGGCTGCTCATGGGGCCCCTGCACACTGTGCCCACCGGGTGGAGCCACATGGGCTCAGCACTGGGCCTCCCACTCACTGAGGCTGATCTGGTGGCTGCCTGCTGAAGGCCCCGCCTGCTGGAGCAGCTTGTTCTGCAAAAAGAGAAATAACACAGGTGAGATTAATTAAGAACAAAACAGAGGCATCTTACATAAATACATCACTGCAGGTATAGGAGGGATTTAAACAGTTCTAAAACTATGAAGAAATTATGTCAACGGGAAAGACTGCAAAGAGAGAAGGTAAAGCAGTTTAAAATTTCTACTTTTCTTCAGCCATAACTGTAATCTTTTACAGGTAAGTTCTATTAAACCTTCAAAGAAGACTCCTGATCATTTGTAAAATACTCAAGAGATTGAAAAATACAGGGAAAGCCAACAACTCATTTGTGAGGCATTAAAGCCAGTTAGGGAACAATTAGAAAAGAAACATTAGGAAAGCAGATGTGGAAATCTGAGAAAATACAGTAACTGTACCTATCCATGCACTGAGAGCCTCGATTAAATACCATGACCGAGTTAGGCATGCAAAGAATGCAGGAGTGTTTACACTTTAAATCTTTCAGCGAAGGCCACCACTGGAAGAATAACAAAGACAGGGGTGGGCATATCTTACTTTGCAGAAATCTCTCCAGATGGAATCAGTGCTCCCTCTGACCCACACTTTTCCTTCTCCTTCACTTTTAGGACCCGGGTTATTGGATTAGCCCCTCCCCCATTATCAGGATAATCTCTTTATTCCAAGGTCTGTGCCTTGAATCACACCTGCAAGGTCCCTTCTGCTGTGCATGGGAACACGTTCACAGGTCCCCGGGATCAGGGCTGGGATGTGTTTGTGCACCTTTGTTCTGCCGAGCACACACACACGGTGATGAATGAAGAGGTTTAACGTGAGTCTGGTCAGGGGACGAGAGAGGACGTGGAGGAGGCCGCGTGGGGATGATGGTGAGGATGAAGCACGTGTTCGCAGAGATCCACGTGGATTTGTATTTCACTGGGAGAGCAGACAGAAAGACAGATCATTATCTTAAAGCAGCCGCAGAAGAAAAACAGACCATCTAGAAAGGAACTATGTTAGAATGTGGTCACTTTTCCATGTCGGGAATGGCTACCAGAGGGCAGTGATGTATCATCATTGACTGAGAAAAAAAACAATATCAGACTAGGAATTTGGGACTGGGAAATTGATCTTTCAAGTGTGAGAATGAAAAAAAGCATTTTAATATGAGTACAACTTGATTTATTAGCAAAATACCTATTCTAAATATATTTACAATGTCAAAGCAATATATAACAAGGAAACTAGAAAAATTAATGGGTAATGACATGTCCAAATAGATTAATACTATCTTGACAGAATATTAACAATGTTGGGTTCAAAACACAGAAAAAAATACATAAAATACTTACCATGCTGTGTTATCATTTCTCTACCTGCGTTCGCACCCACACCGAGGCTGTGTCATCCCTGGCGGCTGAGAGAGCTTGGCTGCTTTCATTCAGATGCCGCTTCTTACACACAGCACCCGGGACAAGGTAGGTATTTACCAACGTCACTAAATGGATGAGTTTCCTGGTCCTCAGAAGACCAGGAACTGTGATGCATAAGTACCATGTAAAAGAGGTTAAGTGTAGTTGCTTCAGAGAAAATGGTGGCGTGGGGAGCTTCAAAGGTCCATCCTTACACAGAACGATGAAAAACTAGCAAAAACTATCAAAATCAACCTCATCAGAACTCTGGAAAAACACGGAGTGTTTATAGTTACGAAGAAAATGCCTAAAACAGACAAGACAACAGAAGTGAACAGGACAGCTCTGTGTTGTCTGGTTGCCCTTGGCCCCTCCCCCTCCCCATCTGAGCCATGACCTTGAAGGCAGTGCTGCTCCGCTGGGTGGACTCTGGGTGCGGAGGGGTCTGCGTGGACGCTGTCAGAGCCCTGGGGTTTTTTGCGGTGATCTGTCGGGGGCTCCTTGCTGGATGAACGTAAACAGCTCATCCTTATTTCCGATAATTCAGAACCCTCTCAGGGTAGAGAATGAACTGAGGCAAAGACCACTTCCCAGAACTGCCTCAGTGCCAATGAACCGGCAGCTGTCATGGGGCAAAGACACAGCTGGAGCAAATAATGGACCTGGAGAAAAATGTGGGAGAAAGAGCTGGGCAGTGAGGGGCCATGGGCCATAAGGGCTGTGAAAACTTTCACATCTTCCTGGGAACCTAGAAGGCCATGTTCACACCCAGTTTGGGGCATATGGTCAGAGAAACCCGAGAAGACCATGAGGTCAGACCTCTGGCTGCTCTTCAGTCTCTGCAGGAGCAGGAAGTAATGGCAAAGGCAAGGGCTGCAAACTGCAGAGATGGGTGTTGAAGGCGTGTCTCCCCCCCGACAAACACACAGCCCAGCTCCACACACTGAGGGGGGTTTCTGTTTTTCTTTTGTCCCAGACACTTAAAGAAATGTCCGTCAGGTCACTAGCTGACCATCCCAAGTACAGAACAGAGACTTCAGGGGCCACAGACAAAGCATACAGTCTATACAAAAATGGTTTAGAAAAGTCACTAAACAACCAACTGTAACCCACAATGAACAACAAAAACAATCCCCATAGACTGTTATTTGGCGATTAAAAAGTGAAGTACTCAACATACTACAGTATGGACAAAACTTGAAACATTTTGATAAATGGAAGAAGCCACACAAGAGGCCACATATTGTGTGACTCCATTCACATCAAGTACCCAGAAGAGGCAAATGGAGACGGGAAGCAGGTCAGCGATTCCACGGGTCGGGGTCTTGGTTGGGGGGCGACTGATCAGCGGGTGAGCGGTTTCCTTCCCGGGGACGGAGTTGCTCTGGAGCTGGGTCGTGGTGATGGTTGCACAACACTGTGTATGTTCTAAGTATCGTTGAGTTTTATACTTTAAAACGGTAAGTTTTAAGTGATGTGTTTTGTCTATTAATTTTTTAAAAAGCTTGGAAATATATTCCAAAAACCTTTGTGTGGTAAACTCAGGTCTGCTTTAGAGTCTGCCCACCCGGCTGCTCCCACCAGGACTCCCATCTGCCCCTCAGAGCTCCCCCCTCCCCCGCCCCCAGAGAAAGCTGTCTGTGAGAACATCCTCTAGATCCACCAGGTCTAAACCCCAAAATGCCCTCCTGCCTCCAATGCAAACACTGAGATGCAAGCCTGAGGCTAATTTTCAGTGGGAGTTAGGAGCTTATCCTATAGGCAGGATTCACTGGGAATGACATGATTAGCCCTAATGCCAGGGGTGTTTGCATTCATGAAGAAAACCTGCTCACAAATGAACGTGTAGTTTGGGGTCGTGCAGGAGGGCCCTCAGCAGAGGAACTAGAGATGGCTCCAGGAATGCCAGGCACCTGCACCTCGCTGGTCCCTGAAGACTCACCCACCTCCTCCCACAACCAGAGAAAGGTGGGAACTCTTCCCGGGGCCCGTCCTTCACCGGGTTCCACTGACGAGGACGCACTGCGAGTGGGACCCATCCTGGGACCCCAGCTGCTTCTCCCATGTCGTGCGGCCTCCGTGCACAGGGCTCACGCCCAGGTGGGCTCCACAGGCCCCTTGAAGTCTCAAGGCCCACACTTCCTGCGTGAACCCAGGCCGCGCAGTAGGCAGCCCACACACGGATAGCATCCTCAGCGCTGCCTCTGCTGCTCCTCTGCGCCCCTTCTTGGGTTGCGGACGAAGAGTTCGTTTCTTCTTCTGAGGCGCCACCAGAAGGGATTTCTGTTCTCTGGAGTCCAGCTGGGAGATTTCATGTGAGATTGGCACAAAATATTTACTTCAAATGTTCTATTTTTAAATTGAAAGTGTTTTTCATATAAGAAAAATGAAAACCCTTTCCACTACAGAAAACGTTAAAATACACAGACAAAACATAGAAATACGGCTTCCCCTCAACGACCACTGCTGACCATTCCACTGGGAGAAGTTCCTGGGCCCAGTGTGAGCGGCGCCCCCTGGAGCCACCCCGTGTGGGGCCCTGGTTCTCACCCTGCAGTTTCCTGTGTACGAAGTGCAGCCCAGGGAACACCGTCAGCAACACTGTGATGACCGTGTGCGGGGCCGGTGGGACTCGAAATACCGAGGGGAACGCCGGGGAAGTTATGTGATTGTCCAACCGCCACGCTGTACACCTGTAACAAAGACAAGTAATATTGAACATCAACTGTAATTGAAAAGTAAAATTAAAAATAAATATTAAAAGGTTACATATTTGATAATTCTGTATAAATATATTATTATATTATATAAGTATATATGCATGTGTGTGTTCATTTCAGAAAGTTGCATTTGCATTTGTATCTTATGAGTTACTTTGAATGTTATGTCTAAAATGTGTTATGATACAAGCAGTTTTCCATGTTGTAAACTCTGCATGATTTTATACCACTTTCCAAGCTGCATATAATTTCAGACAACAGAACACAGCCAGACCCTTTCTTCATCCACCTGCTTTCACCTGTTCTTCCTGTAACTAATGATTTGATAAGCATTGTCATGTGTGTAGATTCTTCACCACTTGGAATATTTAAATTGATAGGCTACTCAAATGGTCAATATTAGGTCAAAGCATTTAGACATTTTTACATCTCCTCACACATAGGGTCAAATTGCTTCTCTAAATTATTGCACTGACATATCCACTCATTTAACATGGATTCATTGAGCCCCACTGTGGGCTGGCGCCTGTGCTGGGGATGCAGTGGGGAGGACTCAGACAAGGCCCCTTGCTCACTGAACAAGTATTTCAGTGATCCTCACTGAGAATAAACAAAATTTGTTCCAAGATCAGCAATAACTGCTGTGGAGAAAAACATGCGTGGGCTGGATGGAGTGGGGTGCAGTGGGGGTGCAGGATGGCAGAGCATGTTCTTCTCAGCTTGTTGGACAGGACGTCTCTGGGGACTTGGCACCAAACACTTGAGCAGGGACCTGAGTGGTGTGAGGAGCAGCCACGTGGTCCTGGGAGAGGAGGGGCCCACAGGGGTCACGGCAGGGCAGGCGCCTGAGTGAGGACGGGGCTGTGTCCAGGGGCCGGGTGAGGAGAGACCAGTGAGCCAGGCTGAGAGCCGTGGGAAGAGGCCAGGTCGGTCAGAGGCCCCTGTCCCGAGGGGCTGGTGGGCAGTGGTGAGGGCGGAGAGCTCACTCTGCCCAAGGAGGGGGACACTGGAGTGTTCTGTGGGAGGTGGAGGTGAGGACAGGCCCTGATTCACAACGGGAAGGTCACTGTGTCTGTCACGTGGGTAACGGGCATGAGGGGCAGCAGGAGCCCAGCTGGAAGGCCACCTGTTTCCTGTTGTGAGAGGATGGTGCCCAGATGGGGTGTGGGCAGTGACTGGACCCGGGGTTGGTACAACCGAAGGCGGTGTTAGCAGTAATTCCCGGAGAACCACACCTGTACTCACTGACCTTAATTCCACGGTTGACTCCAGGTGGCTGGCTGCCACAAACCCAAAGTGAGATGCACAAATCATTTAAAAATCAACAGCAAGATAAATCTACATTTCAAAACGTTAAGCTCTCCCCATCCCTTCACTCTCGAGCTCTGTGGCTGCAGCTTCCTGGGGCCACGTTGCTGAGGAGCCCCTGGGAGGGGGACAGCAAGGACTTGCAGGGCCAGGATCACGGGGACTGAGGGGGGAAGGGATCGCTGGGGAGGGGACGCATCCCACTCCTGAACCATGAGCTGGGGCACACTGACAATTAGAAAAACACACGGTGGGCCATTGATGTTTCTGAGAAATACATCAAATTTGTAAAAGGAAAGAATGAACATTGAACTCAGAATGCAAAGTGACTCAGGAATCTTTTGAAGAAATGCCTACCTGGAAAGGACTCCAGGGAGGAGGAAGAATTCAGGTGCAGGGCAAGTAAAGCTTTCCTTTCCACGCTGCGGGCACAGCTCTCTGGGAGCAGCTTGAACCACAGAGAAGACCGATCCAGCAGGACTGAGAAGAGGCTGACCCGCACAGGGGGCTCCGAGGCGGCGGTTTTACCCAGTGTGCGGCAAGAGTTTTTAAAACATGCGACACCTGACTGTTCAGTCAGGGCACTGACCTCTGTTCCCTTGGGCTGTCAAATTAAAAAGTGACACCAGCCGACACAACACTAGCCATCTGGTGTGAGTGAATCAAAATTATACTCATTTTTTGTCAGATTGGCAAAAACAGAACATATTCTTTGGTGTGCCACAGAATTTTAAAAATTAGTGTATGTGTGCCATGAGATGAAAAAGGTTGAAAATCGCTGGCTTGGAGTGTTCCCTCCCCAGGCACAGGCTGAGCGCTCAGCACATCCGACACCCAAAGGTGCCCCTGTGTCCCCGCTCCTTCGGGCCCCTGCCCCTGTCAGTTCCCGTGCTCCCCTACACATCTCCCCCCCAAATTGTGTCCTGCATCTGGGACAGCTCCCCCATTTCCAAGGGGGATGGAGGCTGAAGACTCAGATTCCGTGTCACTGACCCAGAAATAAGCACCGCGGGGTCTGCGGAAAGTGAGCGCCTCCCGGGGATGGGGCAAATCAACCCCAATCCGTGTAACCAAGTGCACTCATTGCTTCGTTCAATCCTCATCTCTAAGGGGCAAGGGCATGATTTTGTCCTCTTTTCCTTGTCTTTTCAAGGTGCATCTGCAGGGGCCAGGGAGCCTGGCAGGGAGGAGGACGGGAGGCAGTGTGGGGCGGGGAGGACCTGACTCCTGGGCTCACCTCCCTCCCCTGCTGAGGGGGGAGAGGGAGGGGGAGGCGGGACAGCTGATGGGCTCAGCCAACCAGAAAACGTGGGGGGGGCATCTCAGGGGAAGGAAGGTGCGGGCCCCACTGGGAGCAGAGGCGGGAGAGCCGTCAGGACCGCAGGCGGGTGGGGGATAAGAGGAGGAGGAGGAGACATCGTGATCGCCTTCCTTAGTGGGGATGCTGGGAAATATGTCCTCGAGTAGTTTTATCTGTAGTGACTTTTCTGATTGGATAATTATCTTTATAATCTCATGTTGATTCTTAGTATCTAAAGGAATTCACTTTATCATTGTCAAATAATATTATATTTATCATTTTATACCTTTGATAATTTTAGAGGAATTCTTTGATGCTTCCAAACAGGTAAACAGAAGGCAAATATTTCATTGTTTCATTTCTAATTATTGCTCTTTTTATTTCTTCCTCATATAAGAACATGCTAATATAAGGCACCTTAATTTAAATCTTATTTTAAGAACATTTCTCTAATCATTTCACATTAAGTGGCTCTTTCTTTTATAATCTCTGTTTTATTACAGAGAGGTTTGAAATTATAGTAAAGGGGAATAATAACCACAGTAAGTTTCTCTGGTGTTTATTATAAAAATACTAGAACATATATTGTTGGATTAAATAATGTGTCATTTTGAATAAAGAGTTTTTTGGTGTTCTGGACTAGCTTTGCATTATAATAATTAACATTTCTTGGGGGAGGGAAGATGGCGGCTTTACTCTAGGCAGCGTTTTTCTCGGCTTCTGTGAAGAGGGAGGAAACTGGTGGATCGGTGGAGAGGCAGAGCAAGTGGGCTGGGTTGCCGAATCACTTTTGAAAGCAGGACATCAGAAATTATTGCACTCACTGGAAAACCAGATGGTAAGGAGTCTGATACAGGACAAAAGGGGCCCAGGGATCAGCGTGGGGTCTGGGGGTGCGCAGACCCCAGGCCCGCCCGGTGCTCCGGGGTCTGCCCCAGGGCTCCCGGGAGAGGGAAGTCGCTGCTACCTCCCTCCCCCGAATATGCGGGTGAGCAACTCCAGGGGAGAACGGGTTGCTAGAAGGAACAGATTGGCCAGTTGGACTGAGAAAAAATCGCCCAGGGAATATGAACATCCGCCCAGAGACTGTGGAGAAGTGAGAGCCTCTAACCGACAGGACCAGGGGCACCTCTAGCCTGGTGCAAGT